GTTACCGTTACAGTTACCAAAGAAAAGAGTAACGCAGTTACTAGTAAAGTTATCAAAAAAGTAACTTGTAACTGTAACTTCGTTACAAGTAACGAGTTACTTCCATTCCCTGGAAATAAGTACTCAAATTAGTATTAGGTATTAAACTTAATTCCTGCCGTTTTTCGTCTCCAAAATTGATTCGTTTTGAAGGAAATACCTTAATCAAAGTATTATTAATAAAGTATTATTAATTAGTAATAAAGTAGAAAATGGAGGAAATTACTTTGATTAAGGTATTCATTCATCTTCCCTTCGGAACAAATCAATTTTGGAGACGAAAAACGGCAGGAATTAAGTTTAACACCTAATAGTAAACATATATATTAGGTCAAATATATTTTCATATAATTTTTGAAATTATTCGTACGTGTAATTTTCAAGCAAAGCTGTAGGAAAAACTGATTCGCTTTTCAATAAGCAAATAAAAAATTATTTTATAATTACACAACATATGAAGGCTTTTAATTGTGCACTACAAAATTATATTGGTATCATCTTTATTTATATTATTAGTAATTTCGTTTTCAAAATTTTGTTCATTAACAGATTTTTAAATGCGGATGCGACAGTTAAGGCTGCCGTCACATACAGCCCGCAATCCGTAATCCGCACCGGATGTCTGCAAAAGTTGGGTTGCGTCCGTAACGTTATGTTACTAGGGATTGCGTTCGTAACGTTACTTGTATTTTATCTCCTTATGTCCCATGGAACCGTAATTCCGTAAAAGTTACCAATTTTTACTAGCTTTTTACTAGTAATGCGTTTTCTAATTTTATCTATTTGACTAAATTTTACGGTTTAAGTAAAGTTTTTGTTATAATTAAGATATATTCTGCACTTTTCTTATGAAATAAATTAAAAATAATCAATATAAACTGTTAAATAAAAAATATTACCATTTTACGTCCGCATTTTGCGGCTCCATGGGACATAAGGAGCATGTAAGCACGCAACGCAATTGCAGTCCGACTTCAAACAAAAACAAACACGTATCATAACCTACTTTTAATTAATTTTGAAATTAGAAGTGCATAATTGATCTTCGATTTATGTTATTAGTAATGATTCAAATGTTAAAAAATTTATTGACTTCTCCATTTAATCAAAGAAAATTAACCTACAACAGAGTGATTCGCATGTTTCCAATTTATTTGAAATTGAAGAGACTAGAAAGTGTCAAAAAAAAGCGCAAATACTGGGTGCGACCGATATTTCTATTGGAAAGAAGACGATTGCAGGGAGCAAGCGACAACTTGGTACTAGAAATGCAATTGAATGATCCAATTAAGTATTTGAATTACTTTAGAATGTCATCTGAAACATTTCAAAGACTGTTAGCATTAGTTGGACCAAGTATTACAAAACAGGAATGTATCAGGTATCTAATATCTCCTCGTACTCGATTGGAAGTCACTTTACGCTATTTGGCATCTGGAGACAGTATGTCATCAATTTCATATGCATTTAGAATCGGTCATAATACAGTATCCAAAATAATAGCAGAAACATGCGATCAAATTTGGACCATCTTGAAAGAAGAAATATTTTTGCAACCTAATAAAACTAATTGGCAGACAATCGCTGAAAAATTTAACGAACAGTGGAACTTTCCACATTGCATTGGAGCAATAGACGGCAAACACATTGTGATACAGGTAAAAAAATGATATGTCTCCTTTAATACATTATACATATATATGCAGAACATTTATGAAACTTAATATATGTTGGTTTCATTTCAAATAACATACAATATCCTTCAAACATTCTAACAATATTATAAGAATATTTCATTCTTTATGAGATATAATCAATGTAATTTACATCAAAATCTGACTCTATACTAATGCTAGGATATGAGTGAGTTGTATTGAAAAACTAAAGGGTAAAATTCTATAGCAAAATGAATTATATTGAAATAAAACATTTTCTTACAATATTTCATTGTGATATTAACACGTGTAATATATTTCACTAATAAAAGTACTTAAAGGAAAGTTCTATAACGGAATGCTTTCTCTCTTATAATTTTGTATCTGTGAATTATAGTTTTAATGAATTATACAGTTTCTATGAAAAAAATATAGTTTTATGAATTTTATCTTCGAACTTTTTCTTTTGTGATAGATCTACAAGTATAATATATATTATATATATTTTTTTACAAAATGTTATTATAGTAGAACATTCATTGGCCAAATATGTAAAACATTTATTTTTACTCCTATTGCTTATAATTTTAGGCACCACCTAATAGTGGCTCTTACTTTTACAACTACAAAGGTAACCGTAGCATCAACTTGCTAGCCATTAGTGACGCTAAGTATCGCTTCACAATTGTAGATATCGGAGCTCCTGGAAGGCAAAGTGATTCAGGAGTTCTCACTAACAGTGGGCTGCTGAATCTACTGGAAGATAACAAATTAAAAATACCGTCAGCTTCACAGCTCAATGGCAGTAACAAAGAATTTCCTTTCGTCTTTGTTGCAGACGAAGCGTTTCCACTCAGAACTTATATGATGAGGCCATATCCTCGAAGTGGAAATTTGAATATAAGAAAGAAAATTTTTAATTATAGACTTAGTCGCGCGAGAAGAGTCGTTGAGAGTGCGTTCGGAATATTAGCTGTACGTTGGAGAATTTTTCATAGACCGATTATTGCATGTACGTCAACTGTCCAAAAAATTGTCCAAGCTTCAATAGCTTTGCATAATTTTATTATTATTTCGGAAGAACATCTGCCATTGCAAGAAAGACGCTACCAAACTCTTAGTACTACAGATCGTAATCTAATTTCTACGGGATTAATAAATATTAATAAAATAAACAGAAATCGAAAAATTGAAGCAGTTAGAGTGCGAGACGCATACGCGTCATATTTCGAAGATGTGAATCCATTATCATGGCAGTGGGATAAAGTACTCGCAAATGATTTTTAATCTCTATCTAAATTATAAGTTGACCCATATTACGATTAAATATTATATTATGATTATGTTTTTTAATATTTGACTTCTTAATTGCTTTTATGTGACTTAATTGCTAAATAATAGGCGATGATAAAACTGTAATACTAAGTTATTAGATACTAATTATTACATGAAATAATAATTGTAAAAATTATTATTATATAAAATAATTGTAAAAATTTTAATTGTATCATTTGTGTTGTCCAATATTGTTCTTCATGTAGTAAACTATTAGATCATAATAAAAATACGAATATATAAAGGTACAATATAGTTTATTTAAAAATATGAATGTATCACAAACTTTTTAATTTAATGTTATATAATATTTTTTAATATAATCATCAACATGTGTGCTAATAAACCTTACAAACTTACAAACTTACTTTATTATTACTCTTTAATGACAGATGTCTAAAATTCGAGAAAAATATGACACCAAGTAAATGCAAAATTGCATTTACTTCATGTCATTTGCTGGATTCACACTGCATCCGATTTTCGTCGTACGACGACTCTGCAACCAATCAGAAAAATCGTGTCATCAATACGAAGCAAAATTTTGTTTTCTGATTGGTTGCAGAGTCATCGTACGACGAAAATCGGATGTAGTGTGAATTCAACAATATTTCTATTATTGCATTATGCTATACTTCTTTTATTGTATCTCAAATTCTGTACTCTTTTCTACTTCGATTGCCCGAGTGAGAAACTCCATTTGTAAATCTCGACGTTTATTATACTGCAAACGCCGTAGAATATCTCCTAACATATCGCAAAAGTTGTGTACTGGATCCTGAATTGGCTGGGACTCCTTGAGATATGACATAAAGTCAGTTTCAATTTGTTCAATTCCTTCATTGTCTATTAAAGAAAAAAAAAAATTTAATGAATTCACAACTGTACTTTTTGTAAAAATACTTTCAGTGTGAACCGTAATTTTTAGACAAAATAGTTTTAAAACTAATTTCCGGATGGAGAATATATATATGTATATATATATATATATATGTACATGATCGTTTCGAAACTTGCGATTTGCGGCTAACGGAACTATTCGTGAAACTATCCGTAGAACTACCTGGTCGGACATTGCTGTCATTGCTTTTCGGTGATTGGAGCCTTGTTATTGTTTCAATGTCATGTACAGAAACATTTGATGAGTTTGAATTGTCCAGCAAATCTATCGGTAGAGAGCTCACCGTTCTACAAAATCATCAGATTTTATGTTATTATTAATCACATTTTGAAGTCGAAAAGATAGAAACCGAAATTTATTATGTTAGATATCCGCTTTTGCCAATAAGAAGGTTAAAATTTTAATTAAAACGAGTCGAAATGGTTAACTTCAAAAAATTAAAAAAGTTAACGAGTAGTTACCAATAAAATAACGAAATTAAGTTAAAAGTTAAGAGTATAAAATGTAACTATAGCGTTTTTCAATGGCAGAACTAGTGCGCACTCAGTGCACTTTAATGTTGTACACAAATCGTTGTAGAGATATAAGTTTAATAAAAATGTAGAAATGAGTTAAATCGCGAAATCTTTAATACATTTTATTTGATAAAATATACAGTAGGCATTTTATCAGTTGAAATATCTCATTTTAATTCAGGTTAGAGTATTATAACGGCTTTAATGTGCATTAAATGCGCACTAGCTTTGTAAGTGAAAAACGCTATAAATAAAGTTATAATTATTTAACTTTTTAAACTTAATTTTTTAACTTTAACCTAATTTTTAATTTTTTAACTAGGCATTACCCAGCTTTATTAACGGATAAAATTGTAAAAATTATTAAAAAGTAAAGTACACTTAAAAAAGTACAATTTGTTTGGGTGAGAAATTTGCAAAGCTTACTAGCAACTAAAATTGTTTAAAATTTGTACGACTATATTTTTACAATTTTAAAATAATTCTTTTGCAAAAACTTCAGCTTCATTTAATAATTTCCATAAAATAAAAATACTTACGGTCTATTCTGGATAACAGTTTCTAAAAACTGCATTCTGTTATAAAAGCGGAAACTGCTTTTAACAGGGCGACCATCTTCTGCACTTGATTCGCTCCGAACATAGCTCTTCATCAATTTTTTAGATTTTGTGTAATTATCTCTCAAATATCCCCATCTTTTTTTACACTCTACGGAACTCTTGACACCTGCAATTTTAACATAATTAAAAATAATTTTATTATAATCTAAGGAGCCTATTCTGTAACTCTTAACAATTGTAATGATATTATTATATTATTGTTGCACAACTTTTTTACTATATACAAAATCTTGACAAAGACAATATAACGATATCCCTACATAAAAAAATAACGATTCATTTGCACCATCACTTAGCACACATACCACCTATTATGTTGGAAACCTCTGTCCACAAGGCATCGGTTTTTATTTTTGATCGATTTTTATACCCTTAGTGAATGGTCCCACAAAGGTCTTTTCTGCTCGACAGCCTCAATAAGCAATTCGTCAATTGCATCTGCCGATGTCAAGCCACTGTTTGTAGTGTCGACAATTTTTGTAGCACTGCTGCTGCTGCTCTGCTGCTGTTGTTTTGACGATTTTTGAAGTTCTGCTTGCTGCTTCTCCGTTGTCTCTACAGTATCTGTAAAATAATCATATTTCAATAATTGTAATAGTATTCTTGACATGTACATACAATTACTTTCAATCATATCTTATAAAAATATTTAAGAAATATGACATTGTGTATGTGTAATATGTGATATTAGTGAAATGTTGCTGAAAGGTTAAATGACTATATCAAACTACGTTCTAATATATTATACATTTTGAAAACATTGTATAACATACTCATTGTATAACATACTCATTGTGACAACGTTGTTATCGTCGACAGCAATAATATCCACTTTGTCATCATACGTTGCAAAACATTTATGACGCTGAAGCTAGCCCCCTATTCTGGCCACCTATTCGCTCGCGCGCGGCGAAACCCAGGAACGAATTGCGCTCGGGGCCCCGCTTTCAGATATCGAAAAACAAATGAATAAAAATCACGGAAATCAATAAAACATTACTTCAAATGTAATTTCAAACGCAGGAAAGACGAAGATAGACAATAATTATCACAGAATTGCGCGCTGTAAATATATTACTAAATAATATCCAATTCATGAAAACTATGCACACGACCGATTAATTTGTTGAAATAATTGTTAAACTCGAGAGAGGGCCG